AGAAAATGGCCGCAGACCACGTGTCAGGGGTGGGAAAATGGCCCCGGACCACGTGTCAGGGGTGGGAAAATGGCCGCAAACCACGTGTCAGGGGCGGAAAATGGCCGCGGACTGTGTCACGGGAGGGAAAATGGCCGCGGATCCGGTTCGTAACCCGAGGTGGAGTTCGCAAACCGAGGTAAATTTTTGCGGCCGGAGCTGGTCGTAACCCGAAAAGTTCGTTAACAGGCGTTCGTAACCCGAGGTACCACTGTAGTTTGATGTGCAAATCAGATCTATGACTCAGTTAATGGATTGTCCAGATTAAATTAGTGATTTGGTCTTAAAGTTGGCTACTTAGAATTGGATATTATGTATAAGGTCAGTCATATGGGATTAATTCAGTGTAATAAGAAATGATGTACTAAAAACATTTAAAATATAGTAAGAAATGTAAAACAGCTTTCATTCTATACAGAATAAATTGGAAAGTACTTTATTCAATAAGAGTTACAGTTTTTGAAATTTTTCATCTCAATTTCATACCACATCTGAAGGGTAAAATCTGACATATTGTAACTCATTCTCTTTCCAGAATCTCATCAATAAACTGGTAAATACTCCACATGATCCACATATAACAATCACTGCTTCATTTTGGTCACCTTACATTGAGCTTCTGCTGAGATATGGGATTGCATTAAGACACCCAGAAGATCCAAACAAGATACGTCTAGAAAAGTTTGACCAATAGCAAGATATTTGAAGATGAAGAGTGATCAGCAGAACAGAGTTAACTAGAAAACTCTAATCTGAGAAGATAATATTGAGTAGTACTATTTCATGTTTTTCAGGCAGAATCTTATAATATTTCTGTAAAGTAGTATCTACAGAACCATTTTTTAAAGTATGAGATCGTCACAATTCCTTTTTATGTTTTACTACTGTTAGTAAATAATGCTTGTATTCTGAAAACTATTGGATTTGTTAAAATAAGAGATCAAATTAAAGGATGATTTTAGACAAGTGGTTTGACTGTAGCTTTCTCATTAATTCTGCTATCATCAGATGTCAAAACTGAGCATCTGTTCAAAAGAAATGAAATGCTGGGAGAAACAAAACAAAATGTTGTGTTTCTAAATGAAAATATACATGTGTGATTCTGTAAGAAAATATGAAAGAAAGACAAAAGAAATGTCATTAGAAGTTTACCTTCAGATCTGAAAAATCTCTGCCTTAATGCTGGCATGATTAACCATCTTTTCATTCATTGGCAACAGTGTATTTTAAAAACACTTATGATGGAAAATGTAATGGAACACTAATATCTAAAGAGTTGGAGGGAAAAGGATTTTAAAAAACCCTGCACAATATGTTTATCCACAGTGGAGATTAAAAACATCAAGATGGTGGCTGCAGCCAAAGCCACCAGCTTGACTTTTATTTACCCTCACCTACAGATGCCCATGGTTTAGCCCTCAGAAGATCATGACAAGCAGATTCTCCTTTCAGTTGAGTATATTCTGATCAAACAAAGTGCAACTTATTTCAAATGTTTTGCCGTGTAGAACAACAGACACGCAAAGCAAGATCAATGTTTCCTTGGTTTTGTCCCATGACACAAAAATTGGTAGTGTAGTCTAGACTGAATGCTACCTATAATTCAGGTTAAAAGAAAATTGGACTAGGGGATTATTTAAACAGTATTTTTAAAGTTCCGTCAGCAAATAACAGAAGCAATGATTACATGTTATTTTCTGGCTGCCTGGCTTGTCTGCAAAAGCAGAATTAACAATCATGGCCTGCAAAAAAATAACAGCAGTGGATTTACTTCGGTACAGCCCACATTGTCATGAACATAACCGCAGCATATCAATTCTATCTGTTGTGCCCGTGCACAGGATACCTTTTTTTCATTTAACAGCCTGCCTGAAAAGAAAGCACAACTTACAGAGATCACAGGAATAGTACTATAAGCTGTGAATTACCTTTGATCTATCTGCCCTGTAATGAGTTTTAAAAAGCAATATACTTATCAACAGTCATTTTCTTAAGTCCAGAACAATAATGAACATTTCTGAACAAATGTTTAACTGATTCTCTCCCCTCCATCCTCCAGCTAGTTTCAACCAACAGCAGGAATGGAACTATTTGCTATTAGCTAATATAGTCTTAAGACTCCATGGCTGGTGGGCTTTTTTTTTTTAATAAAGCTACTTCAAACAACATATACAATATAGTGAAGCATCTTGTTTTTGTCCCAAACTCCAGGCAAAGGATTGGAATGTAGAATATTTTGCATCTCCTAAATTTCTTCATATATTGATTGTGGGTAGATTGCAGTGATTTTAATGAAGCCCAGTAGTAACAAATCTGTTATTTCTGATGGTCATTGTCTTCCACTTTAATATGACCCCCATTCTAATACTAATCTGCCAATTATTTCATTTCTTGAGACATGCCCATCATTTTCACAACATATTTATTATGGAAATGGGTAAGACTGAAGGATTCATTCCTAATTCTGCCCAACTTCCAAGAAAATCAGTATATTTAAGAAGGAGCATCTTCCCTTACAAAAAAGAACTCTCTCGACTGATCTCTCTGAAATTTGGCATGGGTATTTTGTACTTTAGGGATGTTGACTTCAAATTTCAGCACATTAACATTCTCTCCCAGAGCAAGAAGATTACATATAGTTTTTTTTAATAAGTCAGGTTTCAGTAAAACTGATTTTTGTTGACTGAATGTCAATGAAACTTTTCAATTTTGCTGAAAAACAAAAAAGGAACAACCATTTGCTTTTCTCCTGTATTAGGCAGTAGTATTTGCCTCAGTTTGCAAATCTTGCTCCAGAGCTGAACAAATTGAATGGGGAAATCTGTTCAGTCTAGAGTACTGATGGAAATTCCTGAAGTTCTGGATTAGGTCAACCCCAAATCAAATGTTGTAGTCAATGCACATATCCCTTCTGGTAAACAGACAGCCCTCTCCTACAAGCCTGCACTGATTTTCTCCTACATAAAGACAAAACATCCAAAACAAACAATTTCACCAGCAACAATAATGGTGCAAAATAATTATACATAATTAAAGGATGGTACATCAGGAGCTAGAGAATATATCATTTAATTTATGTGAGAATAAGCAGGAGTATAGATGTCATTTTAGCTTTAACTCAGAATCAGAGCAGAACATTGGTGCTTTTCAGCTGATTTAAGCTGGATAGTATTTTAAGGCTTGATCACTTTTAAAGCTATTCCTGTTAACATCATGTAGTTCAGCAGACCCATTATTGTATAATCCCCATTTCCACAGAGTATTGCCTTAGGTGAAGTAAGACTTCATGCATTGTGCATACTCGTTAAAAATCTTGCAGTAAAAGATCACACACCAGTCCCAGCTAGTTCTTAATGGATAATGCATCTCACTACTGTTTGAAGTCCTTTTTCTTTCTAGCAGGCCATGCTGTAAACACCTGGCTGCACTTCAAGAAAGCTCTAGCATTTGAAGCAGGCTCTTGGAATTTACTGGACTCTGATTATTTAAAACAAGATGTTTTAGTCCCTTCTAAATGTATTAGACTTTTTAAACTGCTTTAGATCAAACCTGTGTAGTTATATCTAAAGTCTAGTTCTCTGATTCATCTTTCCTATGATGCTTGTTGTGTGATGTTGACCAGGTTACCATCAATAGCAGCTGCTATTAGGTTAATCACAGCTCCATGTCACCCTGATGTAGCTGATATATGAGCTAAAATAGCCAAACCCAGCACCCCTCAAATGTATGGATTATAGTACAACTTGGTCGAGGAAGGTTAAAACGGTAGTCCAACACATCTGGCTGCTGATTGGTTTCTGAGCAAAATATAAAGTTCTGGAATTACGTTTAAAGCTCCAAGTGGACTGAATCTGGATCCTTCTGAACGAGCTTTTTCCCCAATCATCCTTTGAAGAAGTCTACCTGCAGCTGCCACATGTCCATCTGATGGCAGGGTCAAGCTGCTACTGACCTCCCTTCTGAGCCAATTTTAGTATCCCTTCCAAAATCTTTAAAATTTCATTTCTTTGAGTAGGCTTTAATTGTTTATACTCTTTCTAATTGATTTCCTTAGTTTGGAATTTATAAACCAGCTACAGACATGTAATTGACATGATAGATATGTAAATAATCATAATTGGGAGGCACCAGGTTGGGGAGGTTTGAGGTAGACTTTTGATTTGTATAAATGAAATGAGGGTGGACTGATTAAAACTTCAACATGACAGCATGCTTCTTCACTTAGATTACTGACCAGGGAAGATTTATCTTTCAATCTTATCAGCTGTGGCAGGGAGGATTATACCTGGAGAATACAGGTAGTCCCCAGGTTAAGAACACTCAGTTTACAGATGACCCATAGTTAAGAATAGAGGCTATTGCAGCAAAATTCTAGTTAAATACATAATGATTCAAGTTAAATACACAATGGTTTGAGTTTATTACACAATACTACTTATACAGTAGTATACAATAATGCTGTTCCAGCTTACATACAAATTCAACTTAAGGACAGACCTTGGGAATGGAACTCGTTCTTAAACTGGGGACCACCTGTATTACCTGTGTACCATACCTCCATTATTTCTTCATCTCTACAGTTTCTTAAGGGCATACATTAATTTTCAGTTTGGATCCTTTTAGTGACATAGCTCTTATTTCTGCAACTGATCATAACTGTTTGTTTTGTTGTTGAAATCCAACAGAGTAATTCATTGTTTAAACCATTGTATCTGCATCTCTTCTTCTTCTAATCTCCGATAACTTTAACATTCTGTCTTAGTTCAAATTGTTTCCAGGTTAAACAAAGAACATTCCAAGGACCTCGGCAGGCAGATCTACCCATAATTATAATCAGCCATAGTTACAGAAAGTTCTTTGTTTATAAAAGTTTTAAAATTCTGTATTTTACAAAATGTATTATGTCAAATGAAATTTAATCTGGCCTTCTCTTTCTGGCAAAGAATACAATTTGCAGGTGCTTCCAAATGAGCTTTAAGATTACAGTAAGCCAAGAAAAATGTAATTTTGGTGGTATTTCTCTTGTAATTTAGCACTTATTTAAAGAGTTCTGGAAGCTGTTTCTTGCAGACATACTTTAAATGCAAATTAATCTAGATGACTGTTTTGAGGTCCTTGATATATATGAGCCGCAACTTGAGACCTTTACTATTTATAATAAATCATTTCCTTTTCAATCAGTTCCTCGTGTTTCTCCAATGTTATAATATCCTTTATTTTGCTAAGAGAACACAGGGGAATTCTGGCTGGTTGGCAAGGAGTTAAGCTGTTAGCCATTTGGTGAAAAGATCATCCAGCCGTGTCACTGCCAAAATTCTAAATAAGTCACAAAATCATTCAGGTTCAGAAAAGCAATCCCCATATTTAAAATGAATTGATACTTAATGGGGCACTTATTTTTTCCTTATCTTCTAATTTCTTCAATACTACCTGCTTTCTTTTGTGGCTTTTGTATAATTTCTGGAATCTGTATGGCTAAATTGTTTATTATCATCATGTATTCATGATGTGTATATTATGAACGCAGGTCTATTTATTTCAATTCCTTCTGTGGATATGTAACTGAATGCTCTGTGAGAAAACAAAACCTGTTGGCTAAGCCTGTTGGGATGGGTGATGGACACCAGCTAGTATTTTAACAGCAATGTGCCAATGACCCAGTTCAAATTTGAAAATGAGGTACAATAAACCCTTTAATGGACTAATAGGGAGAAGAGACGTTCATTAAATCAGAAACTCCATCAGCATAGTCTTTTAGGGGGAGTGCGAGCCTGTTCAAAACAAATGGACCTCAATCCCTGAGTCCAGTTTTCCTTTTAGCAAAATAACCTCTGTCTTGTCTGAATATAATTACAGCTTGTTCCTTATCATACAGCCTATCATCAAGCTTAGACAGCATTCAAGGGCACAGACTGATTCCTTGGAGCCAGATGGTAAAGAGCAACAGAGCTGAATA